CCAGACAAACATTCGGCGAATTGTTTGGCCAAAGAAAACAACAGTATCGTGCAGCATTCTCGGTATTCATGCGTAGTTCGCGTGACACAGAATGAGTAAACCAGATGCATTGTTAAGAATCATTTACTCCGTACTTTCATGTAGCTTAATAAACCTGACCTTGTTTTGCTAACTGAAACTTGGTGCAACGTACCAAAGCAGATGATTTCGACAGATGGACATAACATATTGCAAGAAGGAACGCAAGCGGTACGCTCAAAGCGAACAATTGTTTTCGATTTACTCATCACCAGGCTTGGTACAGAAATATACCTTGAGAAGAGGAGTTCATTCGGGAAACAGATGGCAACTACTGAGTGAACAAGAATTGTAAATGGTTAACGTAACATGAGTCATGTTGTCATGTGACTGAAGACATGTGACACCGCTGAGAGAGGTCTGATCCAGATTTGTTAATGGCTGGACAGAATAGTTGTAATGCTTGGACATGCATTTTCTGAATGTACAGATTAGATTTTGTCAACCAAATGCATACCGCTTCAGCGGTAGCAATCAGTCGAGCCTCTGACCGATGGCGTAGCTGCGATGGCACTCGATAGAGGATCTCAAATGACTTGCACTTATCAAGCAGATGACCGGTGCAGATCAGATGGTTAGTTATTGCACTCAACTTAGTTTTGTCCTGTTGGGTGACGAGTGACGTTGGTAAATGTTCCTTGATTCGTTTTTCTGAATGCCTGGTCGTGCGCCCAATGTACCTAGCGCACAGGAGCAGGTGAACCGGTCGATTACCAATGCTAGTAATGAGACATATTAGCGTTACTAACGCTGACAGAGACAATACTCATGGCTTATAAAGACAAGGCCCTTGTTAGAATACTCATACGTTGCGTTACGTTCAGCAATCTACGTACACGCAAATTGAATTCAGTGACTCACTCGCTCGCCGAGCTTGGAAAGTTGTTTGCAAAAGTTGCACCACCATGCGAGGTGGCATCGTCAGAGCGATGAGATGCAGAGTGTAATCTTGCTGATTGAATTGTCGATCCGTGATCGACGTGCAGGTGACTTTTGAAAGTGACTGCTTCGACCTGCGCCCCGTGATCTCTACCCATATTACCCGCGGCGAAAGTCGCCGCTCGAGCTGCGCCTATTATAGCGGCGTCTGGTAATTTCTCCAAGTTCTTTCTGTAGAAAGCGCTAGTATACTGGGTCGATATCGAGGTGCAGGTTGAGTGAGTCTTCGGCTGGGAACCAGACTTCCAGGAACTTCCTTTCTCTTCTTGTTTCACCTCGTGTCAGGACTTCTGCTTTGGCCCAATCGAAGCTGTGCGAGGATGCACGCTTTCGTGTTATTGTATTCGTGTTGCTAACCCTCCTCTTTGGCCAACAGTACTTTTCGCAATTCATTCAAAACGTAGTCTATTTAAATCATTTCGTTGTCCATGTGCTTCCAGTTTTTCTTTCGGTGGCAGTTGGTTTATGTGCTACGATGGGGTGATGCTATTTGAATAGTCTTGCCGCCATTTCAGAAATGTTCTTCATATAAGACAAAACAACCTGTCTCCCCGTCATTAGAGTAGACTGCGTTGTTGTGGTTCAGTCACCTTCGTATGAATTTTCACGGGTATCCGTTGAGTTGGAAACATTTAAATAGATGCTTCTCTTCTTGTTTCTTTGCATCCTCGGTACTGCAGTATGTTTGCACTCTACGAAATAGTGTCCGCACACGGCTTACTTTGTGGCATTTCGGGTGGTTGCTGTTAAAGTTCAGAATTTGGTCCGTATGTGGAGCTTTCCTGTAAACGGATGTTTGCAGCCCCCCCCCCCATGGTTTTGGTTACTAATACGTCCAAGAAAGACAGTTGGTTTTCATTTTCCAGTTCTATCGTAAATCGGATATATTCAGTGGCGTTGTTCAATAGCTGCTGTGCGACCGTTACTTGACTGTGTTTGATGATCACAAAATTGTCCTCAACATATCGGATCCACAGTTTCGGATTAATGAGTGGGAGTACATCGTCTTTCAATTTCTGCATAACCATCTCCGCAACGAGTCCTGATACAGGTGATGGCATTGGCACGCCCTACAATTGTTCGTAGATCCTAGCGTTGAAGAAATAGGTTGACAGACATAACTGGAGTAGCTTGCATACATTTTCCGTCGTCAAGCTTCCGATTAGTAGTTCACTCCTGTTCAGGCGTTCTGTGATGACCGTTGTTGCCATTTGTAAGTTGACAGATGTAAAAAGAACAGTCACATCGAAAGATATCATAGTTCTATCATCATCAATTCACAGGTCTTTGAGCTTTTGTAAGTTGAATGTTCAACGTGTCTTCACCAAAGGCATCTATGGTTGCTCCACGTTTGTTCCTTATGCAGATAGATGCAATGAGCTAATTCTTGAGCGTTCATGACTGTGCAAATTACATTTAAATCTTAACTTCCGACACAAACTTGTGTGGCAAAAAGTGTATAGTGAATACTACTCTTTGCAATTTCGAGTAGAAACCAGATGTGAAATACGCGACAAGAAATTGTGATTGTAGTGCCTTAGTACAGAACCACAGTCAGACAACTTTTATCTTATAGGATTCGGCCTGATATGGAATAGGCTGCCTGGTTGCATAAGATTTACAAGGTTGAAGCGAGTTCAACAAAATGATTAAGATTTCCCTGACACCAGCGAAAGTAAAACAAATCCTAAATTTGCTAATAATCGATGATAGATTGTTTGCAGAAGGACAGCGTGAAATATGAAAGACAAAGAGCACGGGAGTTATGTTTCAACGAAAAAGAACGGAGTGATATGATGATAACATTAACGTTTACTTCAATTGAGCAACCATGATCCGGGCATCGAGGTGCGGTAGATACAATTGCCACGACAGAATTGCCATCGACAGAAAAACAATAAACGACGACGGCAAGAAAATGAGTTTGAACGTAAGTAGCATGTAAAAAATGGAATCAAGAAGGAAGTGAGGCAAACTAAACAGGATGGAATGAACATTAACAACTGGATGCAAGAAATCGAATGAAGGAACGCCACTGATCGCGTGACTGCGCCATGTCTGAATCAGACTCCAACAATTGGTGTTGGGCATCCCGGGGTCCACATCAAGGAGGACATCATGCATTGACTCGACCAAGTATATCGGTCAAATTTTTCATGCGTTTGTGCCACGTTGTGGACTGGCCACTTCACGCCCTCGCCTAAATTGGTGCAGCAACGGCGTATAATGCACGTCGAGTAAGCCGGTGAACCGAAATACGGGGGACATAGCCTAGCCAACGTAAGCGAGTAAGATTCAGCGAACACCATATGGTTTGTTCTGAAAGTAATTTGATTGATCGTGACAAAGATAATTTATTACAGACAACATGGCGCACATGTAGAAATCTTCAAAGTAGGACCATTGTGAAGTTACACAGCGCCACCAACGTTCTTTCCATTGTTCGTAGACCCCCAGGAAATAATTCTCTAGGATGTAGTGAAGGCACTTAGTTGGGGCGTCTTGAAGGACCGGAAGACTGAAAATGACGTCCATACATGATCCCCTTTAGCCAGGGGAACAGACAAAAGTCGCACAGAGACAGGTCTGGACTACGGCAAGGTTGGAATTAGTTTCTTAGACAGAAACTCCCTGGTCGAGAAGGGGATGTGGCTCGACGTGTTGCCATGGTAGAGGGTTCAGCTCTCGGCAATCTCAGAACGGACGTGATGGACTCGTCGACGAAGTCGTTCGAGTACCTTACAATTTGTTCAGGAGGAATGAACTCAGATGGGCGACTACTTTTGAATCATGGAACACAATGAGCTTGTTTTGATTTGCTCATGCGGGACTTCTTAGGAAGTGACGTCCCTTTCCGGTGCCATTCGGCTTGAGCAGTAGCATCCATACTACTATCCACCCTGCTCGATGTAACAGATAGGGCGCCGTTTGTTATCCTCTGCGACGGCCAGAGTATCAAGAAACTGTTTGAAGAGAAATTGTATTGCGTGGGCAGGATACCGACAGGTTGCCAAGGCCCGGACAGGAGAACGATTAGGGTTCTCAACCAAAGCCTTTGGTACAAAAACCTGACCGCAAAGCAACGGGTTTGGCGGTGGGCTACAAGGAGTCCGTTTTAAGGAATAGGGAGTTACCCTCATTCCAACCCCCAAAGCTGGAGGACCAGGAGGCTGCGTTTGCCTGGCCTCTAACCATTGACCAACCTGGTATGAGTGAATCTGAAGGTGCAAGAAAGCACCACTCAGCATAGCTCAATGGATCTCTGAGGCATGCAAACCATCGCACCACGGTAAGGAACAGCCTCAATGCGATGGGTATGACAAGTTCCATGAACCTGACTGTTTTTCGGATAGTTTCGGTATAAGGAAACTACATTTTCAGGGCCTAGGACTCTAACGCAATGTCTTACAGCTCGCTGTGCACTGAAGGTAGGCAAAGTAATGAAAACTTGTAAAGATGAGACCGGTGACGATCCTGATTATTTTCACAGCGATGTAGTTCTGTGCCATATTCAGTTTGAAGATGACGATGTAAAATTTTACTTTAAATTCACTTCTGCTGAAAAGTCGTCAAGTTTTATACAAGTTTGGACAGCTTATCTGGACAGAAAAGAGGAATCCAAAATGATAGCTAGCTAATATGTGAATTCCATACACCGTTAGTTAGAAAGACGAAGTTTTACTGGGAAGAAAGCATCAGCGTCGTGATAAAAACGTGCTGAATGTTGTTAGGAATGGATAATGGTGAATCCTGCCTAGTAGGTAAAGCGCAAAAGGATATGAAAGATGGATGTAAAACTGATGGATAGTTCGAAGAGCAGAGCTCCAAATCGTTCTCTGAGAGCCAAATAGACACAAGAAAAGGGATATGATTTGCCAAACATACGCGGTGGGGGTCGCTTGAGTTGGCTTTCGCAAATAGGGGTTGTGCTGGGAAAATACGAAAATAGTGTGCACCACAGAAAAACAACAGGAGAGTCTCACCTGAGAAGAATCCGAATAGCACGCACACAAGAACCAGTGCAGAATAGTATATGCGCGATACAGGCATGAGAGCCACGGCGATGCTCGTGATGAGTAGAGAAATATTGTTCAACCAAAGACAATCCGCCCATCGATAGGATGACGACCAGCCTATAAAAAAGATGGAGATGTATCACTTAAGGACATGAAAACACAGCTTGTGACAAGACAAGTTGTTAAGCAAGAAGTGATTGTTCATTCTAGAATTAGCATCGAGCTTAGCTATATACGTGAAGCGGAGCCATCAATGGAAAACCGGTGGCAAAAGGTGGCATACGCATAACAGACAGATTTATCGGTAAATGGTGAGATCAAGTAGGAACGCAGCTCGAGCGACAATCAAAGTTTAAGTTTATCGGTAATAACACCACAATAACGAGATGCAGACAACCGCGAAAGTTGCGAATTGTCGTAAAATTCAAGGAAAACAAATATGCTAGGACTGTATCCGATAGTCATCCAGCACGGCCGTCACCAGAGACATCAATATGTGTCGTTGCAAACATAGGAGCAGTTCGGAGTCACACGCAAAATGATATATCGCTAAATCGTCATTTGAGGAAAAAAGAAAACGTTATACGTTGGGCGATGTCTGTAACAATTGTTGAGCATATTACACTGTATATTTCGTTCATATTGTAACAGATATATTTATCTTGTGGCAACCCTGTTATTTCAGCTCGGTTAAACATGTACGATAGAAGAGTGATAAATTCCGTTGTCAAAAACGCACGCTGAGTCCGATAACCGCTCACTCAGTGGATCTTCCATTCAGAAAGTGGTGTAAAGAGAGAGAGCATTTGTTCATGGTCATGGACACCACAGAGGTAAAAAGGAACGAGAAGAAGTGATAACATCAACGGGTCTCGTTTGAAGTCAGGAACAACTTGGAACTGCCAGCATATCAGCGCGCGGTCTCGAGGGGTAATGAAGGAAGTAACATAATACATTTTTAAGTGATGGACAATGCCAAAGCAGGCGTGACCAGTGGAAGCAAAATCGGCCTCTAGATCAAGAGTGAACATGGCGGATCGTCTACACATGTGGCACCATGCAAGCACGTGGGGAAACATGTGTGGCCGATGTAATCCGTACCGTAATGAAAGTAAGTAGGGTCTCCACTTATCCCACATTATCGAGGACAACTGAGTGGCAGCAGCATGCTGCTTGCACACAAAAATAGAGACAATGATGCAAGGTTAATGTTGCGATTATTCTCGCAATACTTTTATTTCCATTGTTAAGAAATGAGAAGACTAATGACAAAGGCCCGTCCAAGGGCACATCAGTGTTTATGACAAGATATGGCGAACAGAGAAAACGTGAGTCGCTTCCGAATTTCAGAGACAATGGCTGGACGTCGTCGAGTTCGGACGTATTGTTTTACTCCAACAACAATAACTCAAATAAAATTTCTTTGATGCTTGGAGTAGTTACACCAACGCCCTACGGGAGTTAAGGTGACTCAAAAAGGAATGACGACATTGCGAGATGTCTGAGATGATTCACGAAATGTCTTGTCCAGCGATTCAGTCAACAGGTCCGAGGGTAGTCGACAATTCATTTACTCTCAGCCATGGGCTCGTTCACTGACGCATTTCCTGGACCCGTAGGCTGCATGAACAGAATAAGGATTAAGATAGATAACAGTAGTCTTTCTATACCTTTCATCTTTGCTATCCGCCAGAGCTTCCAATGAATCCTGGAGTTCCTTGTTCGACGCATTCTTTAAGTGTTGGGATACCTTGAAATGGACAACCTGGTGGAATTAACTTCGTCCCATCAAGGTTGATAAAGGCTTCGACATTCAGAAGAACCAAACAACCAAAGTGAACAAGTGACTTTCGGTGTCTCCTCCGTTGCGCGGTGGAGGCGATTCTAGTTCGTATTCAAATAATAGACCTTGTTTGTCAATGGTGACTGGTGTTAAAATCGAAATACAGTCCAATCTGCTATGGGATCAGCCGTAAACACCCCCAACGTTTTCTCCTGAGTAACCTCCTTATGCATGAAGCTGTCCATGGCGACCACCAGTCCAAGACGACCACTTTTCGTCGGTCCCTTGAGTTGTCGTCTTAGACAGGTTTGACTGTATTAGAGTAATTCGGAAGGTTGAGCTCAGAGCACGGGCAGATCAGTACAGTTCTGCAGTGAGTAGAAGTGATCGAGAACTAATGCATGGCTGGACCCTAAAGAGATGTTCGCAACAATAGGTGACATCAACAGCTGCTGACGCTGTGGCTAAGTAGGGTTTGTGATATCGGCTCGTTCGATGGCCACAAGGTGACACTTATGCCCAAAGCAGGTGATGATCACATGGTAGTCACGGCGTACACAGTAGAGAAATTTATCTCCGGAAAAATCGAATGCAAAAGGAGCTGTGCTGTAAAGTTTCCGATAAGTTGCCCATGTAAGGATTCATGGCACTACCAGAGATCATAATCGATTTTATCTCTGGTGGTTTCCGAGCTGCGGTCGAGGAGAATATAGGCTGGAACAAAAAGTCAACACATTCTTTGATGTCATCTGACAAACATGAGGAAAACTTGAAGTGCGACGGGGTAAATGTGACGGATTACTAGGATTCACGGGAGCAGATTACCTTGTTGTTAAGCTGGATGAAATAACTATGCAGCGGATAGTTTTGACAAATGCCTTCATATCACAAGAGACAAGAATCATACGTTGCATAATTTTTGTTAAAACAGAGGACGGTATTGGTGACGAGGTTCGATTACAATGCGGAATTTAGGGTGCACTCTCAGATTGAATTCTAACGGCATTGTTGGAAAACACGCAAACAAGACACTTAATCGTTCATGATAGAGTAGCTCAGGACAGACAATGGGTGAAAATGCGGACGCTCTTCCATCCTATTTTGAGCCGAAATGTATCTTTTTGATACCACACAAATCATTAAAATCTCGGACGGACATCGGGAAATTGATTAAGGAGCTACAGTAGCATGAGTGTTCTGCAGACAACACACGCATCAAGTCCATAAAATACAAGATGAGAGCAAGCGTTATTCATCAGCATAGATTGTGACACTAGAAAAAGGCGACGTGAATTGAAGTCCTCAGTTAGAAAAGCGATATAGATAGACCAACAGCAAAAGGCGAACATCATAGGTGGTTACGTGGGAGAGATTAGCAAGGCAGACAAAAGAGAGAAATAAAGGGGAAGGAAAACGAGCGACGGAGTTTTGTGGGCAGGGGATATTTTCCGGCTGTGCAATCCGTCAGGCATTTGGCGGGAAAAGGTAGCACTTAACAGATCGAGTCACTAAGCAGCGGAATGAACCGCAGGTTACTTAGGGGATTTCACTCGGGGCTTTTGAGTCAAATGTCAGGTGCATAAGGTAGTGGACGGCAGATGCAGTTGAGGACTGGCTGAGGAAGACGAAGTGGATCTACTTGGGACCTGGTACACGCAGTCTTGAACGAATCGGAACCATTTGCATACATTTTCGACCATAAAGGATACATCTGCCACTATGGTCAGTTACAAGTGAATTTGGGTGAGTTGGCAAGCTTTAACTGAGTACCAGCAGACCACTTAGCGGTAATCGTGTTGCCAATGTTAGACACAACCCGGCGACTACACCAATCGAACTGAGTCTATAGCCCGTACACTGTCTCCCATGGTTGAGTTAGATGGGAAAAGCGCAATCCGTCCCTGCCCATACTCTTATGAGGAACATGTTTAGACTGAGTTCATTTGGGCTACAATAACTGGCATGTCTGGCATTAGTGACTGAAACACTGGGGAAGTATAAACTGCGTAACCTAATGAATCACGATAACAAGTTAGCCCTGAAACCCCCTGATCAGCTTCATTACGAGGGTTATCCCAGTTAATGGTTGTCTGGACTCTGTTAAGACATACTGAGGGTAATGTAAACACTCTGTCAGTTTCAATGACCGACAGGCATAGGCAACAAAAACGGTCGCACCTACAATCGTCAGATGTTTGTTGTCCCCAAACTAGTTAATGGTGATACGCTAAAAATAAAATCGATAAAATGGTTGCGAACTGCAAGTACATTTCTGTCATCCCACCTAAATGAGGTATTAGGAGTATACTAATTTCAGAACTTGGGAAACATTAGAACAAGAATATGCACAGTGTGACGCAGAATGACGATATGTAATACGTCATTGAGTGAAGCAGTGTACTACGAAATGCTCCGGTATATTCGGTGTCAAACATTTCACCACTGACTTGAACTGATTACCTGAGGCGAAAGGGAATAGGTATCGGAGGAACCAGTGTGCAGATCCACTCATCACTGTAACAACGAGCAAACACAATAGAGCGATAACGATAACGGATTAGGAGCATGTTGGAGAAGGCTCGTCACAGTCAGACTGAGTCGGGCAGGTCCTCACATCAAGAAAAACACTAGATGGCTTTTCGTTCCACCGAGACTCGTCCTTAAAGCGTCCGCCAGATCCTGCTGGATTTAAGCCAATGACCTTACTCTTACAAGGCAGATATTTAAGTGCCCCAGTCGTAGGTGATGGAAGTGGACCTACATGACCGATTACTAACTGCATGTCATGCATGTTGTCAAAGTGCGGAGGAGATTAATGGCCCGCAGTGTCACGACTAACTATATGGTGATTGGTCGAGGTTGGTTGCGACGAACTTTGTCAAAAACTACAACCCCCATCTAAGGAATCACAAGCAGTTTGCGGTACATCCCAAGCAGCTCTGGTCAAACGAAAACGAATGTAATCATATACGAGAACAGAAGCGGGTCCACACTCCAACTGCAAGCGCATCACCTACAGGTAGGTGAATGTGCGCATAAAAAGGGCAAGGGTGAAGAAGCGCTCATAATGCATTCACAGACACCGTAACACAGCTCTCGGATGACGCCTAAAGTATTTTAAAATTATGTTACACCAGTACAAGCACGGAACGGAACAAATTCATTAAAATGGAGTAGGGGCCGCAGTGGACTTTAAAAAGAAAAGGAAACAAAGGTTCAACGAAAGTAACAAGGCCATCAGTTTAACTGTTTCCTGGGTACATGCTTCCACGCGGAGTTTCAGCAGCACCTCTGGAAATGTGCCGGTGTGGTTTAAAAGCATGCGAGCCCTCAC